CAGAACATAGAAACTTCAGAGATCTCCAGAGCTGGTTGGAGTAACACTTGTGATAAATTCTCAGTAGGCAAACCCCACACGGATGGGTCACTCAGACGGGAGAGTTTTCACTCAAGTGAAAGATGTATGAAGACACAGCTTTGTGCAAAGCCTACCTGTGTTGTTTGGGACAGAAAAGTTTGTGACTTATCAGCAACAGGAGTGATGGGAAAGGCCTCCCACACAGGACGCTGGGCACCGTGTCCCAGCTAGTCTGACTGGAAGCACCTTGGAGAAGCGTGTACCTTGGCAGAAGTACTAGAGTAACTGCATACACGGTGTACGCAGGGAGAAATAGGGGTCCAAGGAGGTCATTTTTGTTTTACCTCATCAATACTTAGCATTATTGAAGAGTCCCAGAACAGTCACTCTTTGCTGTCAGTCATCACTCTCAGAACCCAGCACTGCCTTATTAGGCTGTGCCCTTCAAATGGACCCCACTGCTGAAGTGACCTTGCTGTGCCCCAGTTCTTCTGGAAAAGTGGCATCAAGGCGATCCGGACAAAGAAGTTGCTGCCAAACTCCTGCTTAAGTCCAACACCCGGCCTTCTCTGAAGTCCAGAGGCTGTTCCTTGAGAAGCCAGAATATCTGCAAATGTGAGCAGAGGTCACCTGTCCCTTTATCTTTCAGCTACCTTGGAGTTGTTGGCCTTAACAAAAGTTGCCTTATTAATTCTAGAAAGGCACTCCAACGTCTATTTTTCAATGGATCTTTTAAACAAACACATCATTTCTTTAAAATAAGCCCATAGGCGAGTTTATTCTCTGCCATGTCTTCAACCACCCTGTGAGTACATATCCATGAAATTTCTCTGTAACACCTGTAGCTCCTTGTCCAGGGTCATATCTTCCAAGTAGCCAACAACAAACAGCATTAAATGCAGCTTTCCAGCTGGAGAGATGGACAGAAGGAAGCTGTTTCCTTAGATTAGGCCCCATTGATCAGGCCACTGCCTAGTAGAGCTGGTGCGGTGCGTTGGTACCAGGAGGCAGTTCTGCGCCTGCGCGGGAGGCAAGCTAGCTGCACGTGGCGTGGCGGGAGTTACAATGCCGTTACAGAAGGCTGAAATGCAGTAAACCCGAAAAACCCCTCTCTAGGAGCTTTATGTAAGTACTTACATACCCGAGAATATTCTCCATAAAACTGCTGGCAATAGAACTGTGGAACAAGTGTTGGAGGGAAGGCAGGCAGGAAGAAAGAGAGGAGGGAAGGAAGGGAGGAGGGAAGAAGGGGGGGGAAGGGAGGGAAGGGAGAAAGGAGAGTGTTGAACAATAATAACTGCGTTGAAAATAGAGTTATTCTGAGGTAGTACAGTATTTAATTTGCAATTTGAAAATTATGACCCCGGAATATGTAAAAAGGAAAAATTCTGAAAACTACGTAAAATAACAATAAATGACATGACATAAAGACATGAACAGATATTTCAGCAAAGAGGAGATAGAGATGGCTAGTTAACCCATGAAAAGACTTTCAACATCATTAGCCGTTAAGGCAATGCAAATTAAATCCACAAGTTGTCTCCACAACTTTAAAAAAAAAAAAAGATAGTGGTAATACCAATATTGTTGATAACTGTGAGGGTGTAGATCTTTCATACGTTGCTGGTGAGAATGTAAACCATATAGACTGAAAAAAAGGTTTGACAGTTTAGTATGTGAGTCAACAAATGCATTCTTGGGCATTCATACTGAAGAAAATGCTTATGCTCTCACAAACACCTATATACAAATGTTTACAGAAGTATTTTTATTATAGTAAATTACTGGAAATGAATCAAATGTCCTATAAATGCATAAACAAACTCTGGTAGTCTATACAATGGAAATTTACTCAGCAGTAAAGAGTGAACTTTTGATACATCCAATACCCTGGATGAACTCCAAGAGCATGATGTTTAGTTAAAAGAAAAAAAAAAAACTCAAAACATTTGCCTGTTCTGTTCCCATTAATATGACAGTCTTACAATGAAAAAAAAATTGTAGAAATGGGAAAACAGATTAATTGTTGGTTGGGGAAATACAAATAAAAGGGGTAGCATGAGGGTGTTCTTTTGTGATATTGAAGAGTTCAGTGTATAGATTGTGGGATTCTTTTAATCCAGTGACTTTGGTAAAATATTTACCATAATGGAACTGGAGAACATCATCCTGAGTGAGGTTAGGCAGGCCCAGAAGACCAGAAATCGTGTGTTCTCCCTCACATGCAGACTTTAGATCAAGGGCAAATACAAGGGGATTGGACTTTGATCACATGATGAGGCAAGAGCACACAAGGGAGGTATGAGGATAGGCAAGAAGCCCCCCCTCCAAAAAAACAAGATAGCATTTGATGTCCTCAATGCAAAGGAACTAATGCAGAAACTTTAAAGTGACAGAGGCCAATAGGAGAAGGGACCAGGAACTAGAGAAATGGGTAGTTCAAGAAGAATTAATTTAGAAGGTAACACATACGTATAGGAAAGCAATGCGAGTCAACTCCCTGTATAGCTACCCTTATCTCAACTAGCAAAAACCCTTGGTCCTTCTTATTATTGCTTATACTCTCTCTTTAACAAAATTAGAGATAAGGGCAACATAGTTTCTGCCTGGTAGTGAGGGGGTGGAGGGAGGAGGGAGGGGCAGGGGTAAGGGAGGGAGTAGGGAGAAGGGGGGAGAAGGGGGGAGAAATGACCCAAACATTGTATGTACATATGAATAAAAGAAATTTTAAAAAATATATTTACCATAAAAGTTTTAATCACTTGAGGTTTTAAAATCATTTTTGTTCAATACATCATGGAAGTTTTTAAAGACAAAATGGGGTTAAGTCCCCTGAGGTACCAGTTTTTGTTTTCTTAGAGCCAATGGCATTGATTTTATTAGCAAGCAACAGTTCTTATATACAGAGACAAATTCTTTGGTGTCAAAAAGGACAGAGATGAATTCATGGCAGTCACTCTGGGCATCATTTGCTCTTGTCCCTTTTCTGTCCTTTCCTGTTGGCAATTTCAGTTTGTGCAGCTACTGCATTTTCTCCAACTTTTCTCTAATTGGAGGCTTTGTATGCAGGGTGGCACTGCATAGCAACATCTTCCTCAGATCACTGCCCTTGCTTTGAAGGAATTACCAAAGCAATGACTTTTCCTCTGCCATATCTAAATTAATATTGATACCAATTTATTTTCCTGAGATTTTTTTCCAATTAGTTTCCCTCCGATTTAGGTATTCAATGAGTTATGGTAATTCTAAGATTACCTCCTTCAGAAGGAGCATCTTTTGGAAGCCTGTGTGCCTCAGCCCACCTGAGGTACAGGCCATAGCAGACGAGTGGCCTGCCAGATGGGATCCTTATGTAGGTGTCTTTCTCCTCTTGGCACCTGCCTGTTACTTAAGAGAAGCATGTCATTTTACTCTTTTTATTTTATAACTGAGGAAGTGCAAGAACTGAGGAAAGGCAGGATGTTACACAGTAGGTTAGTGATAAGTAGACTTTGGTGTGATACCAAAGGAGCAAATGCATGCAACTGTCAAAACTTCAGAAAATTAATTTCTCTTTACCTCAGTTACTTCATCCATAAAATGGCTCTGATAATAATAGCATCTTCCACTTTAGTTGTTGCAGTATGAATAAGAAAAATGTGTTTTCAGCAGTCTAGGCCTGTGCCTGCCACATAAGAGGGCTGCAATATGTGTTGATTCTCATTTCATTTGAGTTGTCATCCTATTTCTTAGCCCCCAGGGCAGTTTGAAAAGAAATGCTTGCAATGAAGAGAATGGATTGCTTAGCAGTCAACAGGGTTAATTAACTTTCCCCAAGAAATGTGCTCCTGGAAAGAACGTGTATTGATTAAGCCTTTCAAAGTAGAGTCATTTTAACATAGACTAAGGGAAGTCAGTTTTGTGCCAAGTGAATGGTCACACCCTCAGATATCCATCTTAAAGTTCTTAAGAGTTGACACTTGTACCTGACTATTCTCTGCCTTCTTCCTGGTATCAAGATTAGGCCCTTGATGACCCTTACTTCCAAAAAGAATGTACTGAGGGATGGCTTAAACAAAGCAGGCTTTCCATGATACCTTTTCATGTAAAAACATCAAAATTCTCTATGTCCTGGGGTCTTTGGGGGGAGTCAGATAGCACCAGGTAAGTCTTTGCCTCCAAAGAAGAAAGTATAAACTAAGGGAAGGAGAGGGTAGAACTACCCAATGAACTAAAATCCATCTGGGAGAATCCTAGTAAGGGAGAGAAATTTATCTAGGAAATTGAAGGTGCTTTCCTGGAAAAAACTGAGGGACTAGAGAAGTTTGTTTTCTTTTAAAAAAAAATTTCATGTGTTCAGTTTGGGGAAGGATAACACAAAGAAACACAATTATAATAAAATAAGGCTCCCCCACCCCCAGCCTTTAATATCTCAAAAAAACTACCTGAGAACAGCTTGAGGCCAAGGATGTATGGTCACCATCTTTGTGCCTCCAGCCCTTGTACTCAGCCTTCTCAACAACGGTTAAATAAATGAATAAATCCCTTAAGTTGACTGGACACATGAGTACTTTTATCCCCCAGTGGTCACCATTTGGGCTGGGAGTGAAGAGGTTTAAGACATATTTAGTTACATGGGCAGACCAAAAGTTCCCTGAGGGCAGGCTCCAGGTTGGTTGTACTTACTGTCACCTCCTCAGAGCTTGGCGGAGGGTACCTGGCGTCCTTGACAGTTGATGAGCATTTGTTATATAAATATATGACAAAATACCCCTGGTTCTGCCTGAGAACTCACAGCCTGGAAGAGTGAGGAGAGTTTCTGTGAGGAGGGGGAGGGCTGTCATGGGCTTCTAAGAATTCCTGACAACACAGGAGAGGCCAGAAGTCAGTTGTTCCTTTCCCCCGCCCCCCACCCGGGCCATTTGCAGGAGTGGAGTCGGTGTGTCCCTACGCGCCACTGCGGGGACCCCAGGCGCAGGGGAAGGTAACTGAGAGGGGGGAGCCAGCCAGCACGTGCAGCCGCCCAGGGGAGGAGGAGGCTGGGCTAACGCAGCCCTTAGTCAGCAGCTGGGCTCGCTTTTGAAACAAAAGCCAATGTCCTCCCTCGGAGTCCGCGGCCGGTCAGTTCCTAGGGGGAAGAAAGCCATGCTGCCCAGCCGGTTAGTGGCCCAACTTACTTTTGCAGAGCCTGGGACAAAGGGCCAGCAGCCGATGTACGCGAATGGGTGGGATGTCGGGATTGGGGGCCGCGGGCCCAGGTCGCCAAACCCTCCCTCCCCTGGCGGCCGCTTGGCAGAGGAGCCAGGGGGTCTCACGCTCTGCGCATGTTCGTCCAGGGCCCCTGGGCTCTGCGTAAAGCTGAGGCACCTTTGCCACCCGCGTCCCAGAGCACAGACACACCAGGCCCTGGTTTCATGAATGAAATCCAATCGTGTGGATATAAATAGCCGCGAAGGCTGCTAACGTCACAGTACGAGCGGCGGCCGCCACCGCGTCGGAGCTCGGGGCCGGGTGCTCGGTTCCGCCCGGCCGTCCTGCCTGGGAGCGGGGCGTGGGCCGGAGGCGGGGTGGGCGAGCGGTAGGAAGGGGCGAGCCCTTGGCGCCCCGCGGCGACGCGGGGCGAGGCGAGGCGAGCCTGCGAGGCGAGGCAAGGCGAGGCAGTGCCATGCTGCCTTTGTGCAAAGTTGGGCGGCGGGCGGCGCGCCGCGCTCAGGGGCCCCGCACACCCGCGACCGCGCGCTGTCGTGGCTGCTGCTGAGTGGCGGTGGCCCCCGCCCCCCGCCCGGCCTTGAAGGCGGAGAGAGCCCGCGTCTCGCTCGGCTTCGGGGTAGGTTCTGTGTCGTGAGTGCGCTATGCTGTGAAACTTGGAGCCGCCGCCGCGGAGCCCCCCCACCGCCCCGGTGCATGTAGGGGACCCGGGGCCGTGCCCAAGCGGCCACCGTGCCCCAGAGCGACTTGTGGGACCGAGCTGCTGTAGGGGTCGTCCTGGCCTCTCTGGGAGGCCGGGAGCCCTCACATCAGAGGCAAGCAGAAGAGATTTCTAGGAGCGCCCGCCCAGCCGCACCCCTAAGTTGGAGCTGAGCAAATGTACAACAGGCACCCTTACTTAGCAGGCTGGCTGTGCTGGGGAGGGGGTGGTGCCGCGCCCACAAGAAGCTGCTTCTTCTTCCAGGGACAGTGGCGGGGAACCTAAGAACCTGAAAAGGAGGGTGGGGGTACGCTGATCCCCTTGGCGCTTGCACCCCTAGGAGAGTTGACTGGCCGGCCCACAGTGGCGCTTCCCCCTCCCTTCAATCGCGTGTCTATGGAGTCTGTTGTGAGTTGCTGTGACAACAGGAGGAGCTGCCATGAGGGGCTTTCACACACCTTAACTTGTCCCTGTGTGCCCAGTTTCCGGGGAAAACAAACCGGGGAGGGGAGCAAGGGGGAATAGAGGAATGGAGGGTTCAGCCAAGAGAATCCAACCTTCTCCTCCAAAAAAGAAGTGTAAGGGCCGCACAACTATGTAAAAGTATATCATTAGAGCTGTGCCGTTTCTATCCCCAGCAGTATCAAACATCCCAACTGAGGAGCAACGTCAATATTTAGACTTGGACAAGCCAGAAAGTTAGAAGGGAGCGCAAAGCGCAAGGTTTTGACTTGGCTTTGCACGTCAGCACACAAGCTGTGCTTTTGGAGCTGACTGTACACAGTTGCTGGGGGAGGAAAAATGCACCAAGATTGATATATACACACAGGCACCCCGATCGAGCACATTCTAGGAAGTTAAAACCAGAAGAGTTGCCCTGGCTTTGAACTTCCCCAACCTGTGCTGTTCAAGGAGCTCTGCTAAACTGTAGCCCAATGCTCCGCTTGAGGTTTTATTGGTTTGGGGTTCTCATACTCTCAAGCGGGGCCGTGCTGCATATTCTACAAGAAAGTTATCCTAAAATGCACAAACAATACTAGGTTATCAATGGTTTTCATCTTTGCCTAAGACCTCTTGCTGTCAGCAGATAGTAAACAGTCAATAAGCTGGTAAGTTTGTTTACCAACACTATTTTGAAATGTGGAATTATATTTTGTTTCCAATAACCTTTTAAATGCCTGAGAGAGTCAGTGATTGCTAGAAAATAAACACAAGGTCTTGTCATTAAAAATAACATCTACATACTGCTCCACAGGTGGAGTGGGCAATAAATTATTCTGTTTAACGAGTGTTTCTCTGAGCTTCCTAGATCGTGTTTGACTATATTAAAGGAAAAGAGATTCAACCTATAGATGCCAGTGTGGAAGACTTTGAAAAATCATTGGGAAGCAATAAAAATCATGGCCAGTATTCTTCTGAACGTGCCCATTATTGTCATTTCCCCAGATTTTGAAGGTAGTGTAGCTGTTAAGTAGTCAGGGCTGGTGGGGGTAGTGTAACCAATGCACAATGTAAGCCTATTTGGAATTATCACAATGAATCCACCCTGTACAACAAATATATTCTAATAAAAAAAGTAGACAGGGCTGTGGATGAGCACAGAGGTGAAAATAGAAGTACACATAACAGTTTGATGTATCTGCCTCAATAATACAATTTATTAATTATTCAAATATAATGAAAAATGGGATATAAATATAATGGGAAAACCAAGAATAGCTTGGTCTTTTAGTTATTTTTTATTATCTCAAAGTTCCACTATGGAGGAATCGCATGTCCCTTTCTGTGACTTCTGTCCACCACTTTGTGGACAAATGTTTTGTTTTGCATCAGTTCAAAATGCTCAAAAATATTTTTCATAAAAGATATAACATGTTTATCTAGCTTTCTCAGGGCGTATTTGTCACAAAGAAATTCTACTTTAACATGGCACTTAGCAAAACTAACACAGACTCTGCCCTTTCTTGTGGGGGTGTGGAGAAATGAGAACAGAGCATATATTGAAATTTGTAGTGACTCCCCATGTACTCCTGACAGGCAATAGGATTTATAAGGTATTTCTCTTTTATTTAGGTAAGTCCAGCTGTGAGCGGGGTGTTCTGTTCTTCACTTCCAGCAAGCCAGGTCAGTGACTTTGTGCAAACCCATAACCACAGATTGGTGACATCCTGTGTCTAGTTCTAAGAATATACTTCAAAACTGGTTTCTTAGCCATTTGTCTTCAAAACAATTTGTTTTTGACATTTTTCTACTCAAATATATGAACATTACAAACTCAGTGATTATTAAAAAAATACTCCATTTTCTCTCACATTTTCTCTGTGAGCAAAATGGTACTAAAATGAGTTTTGAATTTGTCCTTTATAAGACCTATTTTTTTTTACTTTGGGGCTCAAAATGGTCCAGGACAATTGAGGATCCTGGGGATCTGGGATTGCTTCTGTTTGAATCCTAGCCACTGGAGCTGAAAGAAACTTGATATAATAATAGTTGACATTTATTGAGCCCAAACCAAGGTTCAGGTAATGTTCTGCATTCTGTACATTTATGTTTTCATTCTGCCATATATACATGTGTGTGTATATGTGTGTGTGTGTGTATATATATATGTATATATATATATAAATATGTACGTATACCCTATGTGATAAAACCATAGGTGAGGAGTTAGAAATTCAGAAAGATCAGATAATATGTATAATTCTTATTTCTAGTAAATGGCAAAGAAGGTGTTTTCTTAAAGTTCTGTCTTGACTGGGGGCATGGCTCAAGTGACAGAATGATTACATAGCAAGCACAAGGCCCTGAGTTCAATTCCCAGTAAGACACACACACACACCACACACACAAAGCTCTGTCTTACTCTATACATAAACTCCTACTTAAAATTCTTCCCCAGCAAGGAAACTAAGTCCAGGAAAAGTTAAGTGACTTGCTGAAGATCACTTGGCAATTGCGGCTCATGTAATACACTCAGTGGTGCAGCTTCTGCAAAAGAATAAATTCCACTCTCTTCCCTAAATCAGTAAAATAATAAGTATTCATTTATACTTTCTGCCATGGCACTGTTGCAAGGTAAGAAATTTTTTATCATGAAGTCTCTGGCTTTAAGAATTTTACAAGCATTTCAAAAGCAAAATGTTAAACATTCACATTATGAAAAATTAGAAAATAAATCAAAATCATACTGGTCAGGTGACTGAATTGGGGGTCAACAGTACATTTATGAGAAGTTCTACATTTTCCACTCTGTGAAGATTACTTTGCAATTCCATGTATGTGTGGAAAAATTTCCAAGCACATTTTTTGTCTGAATGGATGATAAATGACTGAGAATTTGGGAAAAGACAGAATGTAGAATTTCAGCTTGGTAGGGAGATATCATATAGTCATCCAGGGCCACTAAACTACAGGATCTTAATCTCAAGGATATTATTGCTTCAGAAGCATTGTAACAAACTTGTGGGCCATTTGAGTCTGCATAGTGTCTTTGAGAAAGCATTATATTTGGGCATGATGCTTAAAAATACTGGATTCCTTCTGGAACCTCAGTGTATCTGAAAAGTGGTACTTAGATAATTTGAATACATAATAGATAAATCCTAACCAAAGTTAGGTTTAGCAAGACATTTTCAGTTTATGCCTGGCTTGACATCTTCTCTTGTCCTCTCTTCCCTCTCTGCTCCTTTTTTCTTTCTTTCATTTTTTTTTGGTAGAATAATTTGTAACAGTTGTTAATCCTTCTTAGGGAGTTTTATATAAAGTAGTAATAAAATTGAAATAGGGAAAAATTACTGAAGGATATCTTAGGATACATTTAAAAGGTGCCATCTTTTTTTGTACTGATACTCCAAATCAAGCAAATAGCTCTAAAAGCTTAATTAGTTAAGAGGTATTTGTAAGCATTTAAGGGGTTGTAATATGCTACCCTAAAATAACCCTGTTTTGTAAAAGTTGTAATATACAAAATAGATCATATTCCGTAAGAACACTGTCTTTATTGGGAATATCCCATTAGAGGCCAGGATCTCACCATTAACTGATGCATAGCTAATTGTGATAAATGGTATGTCATAAAAATATCAGTATGGCAACTGTAAATCTATAGTTTATTTAAATCAGTAAGATTATATCTAAATTGCACCGTGTTTGAGCCAAAAAAATCTTGGAATTAGTATGCTTTCTCTAATAAAATCCACTTATTTAGCAATCAGTCAGTTGTTTGTTTTTTTGAACTTCAGAAAGCTTTGGTTAATATGCTTGACTTGCCTATTTAAAAATGGCTAGAACTATTTGAAATTTTACAGGCTTTGCTTGGTAAATTTACTTGTAGAAAACAGACGAACTTTTGAAACTTTCTGTTGGTCTTTAGAAAACAAGTAGTTCAATCTCATTAGCTGAAGGCCTCCCCTTGGTTTCATGTAACTGGATTTAAAGTATATAGGTGATTTGAATCTGATCCTTGTGCTCATCTTCTCTTCACTACCCAGGTGTCCCACCAGCCTCATTAAGACTAAAACAAAACTTGGAGAGGGAAAGAAAAATAAGTCACAAAAAATGTATGGAGGAAAGGGCAGGAGGTGGGAGAGCATGTGAGTGGTGGGGGAAGGGAGAAGGAAAAGGAAAGCTGGTGAGGGAGGCAAGAGGCAGTCACTCAAATGGATGGGATGTTTGCAGATTGATTATTTATTTATTTTTAGTTTATAAATAAAGTTGTCGCCTCCTCTTCTGGGAAATGGTTAAATAAAGACTCCAAAAAAGAATGTGAGCACGACCGCTCCTATTTCCAGATGTCCAGGACACCAGATACGTTGGGACGTTTCTCATCATGATTTATCCACTATAGAGTGAATTAGCAAGCTTTACAAAGAAAGAAAGAGATGCCAATAGGTCTAGAGGAGAGCAGTAACATCTCTCTGCTCTGCACCTGAGTTTGTTTACTGCACAGACACAAGTTAATGGCATGTGTCCCATGTTAATGAGTCTACAGTCTCAGGCTCCATCCTCTGTGGAGAAATTTCCTTGAATTGTTAGCCAACCGCAGGCCAAACCTCTAACGACCCTGTGATAACAGCCACCAGGATTTCTTGGGCTTCTACTAGATGCCAAACCCTTCCTGTATTACAGCTAATTTTCATTATCAATTCCAATTTAATGTAAGCAAAAAAATGGAACTCAGAGATGTTAAGTTAAAGAGCTAATAGGAAGCAGACCTTGGATTTGCATCCAAGTTTGAGAACTTGAATATACATTTGTTCTAAGTGTATATTTCAATTATATATTCAAATGTGTATTCTAACATACATTTGTTCTAAATGAACTCCCCGAAAAAAATACTTTAAAACATTTCATTCCAAGTTACTCATGCATATGGCAGAGTATAGAAATAATATATATTTATAATTATATATATAACATAAGTCCATCTATGTATGCTACATATATACATATATATATAACATATACACATATGTATAATGAACTGTGTAACAATCTTGCCTGGACAACTTTGCTGACTCTTCAGGGATCATTTCTAATATATTTTGAAGGAAGTCACAGTCTTAAACAGTTGAATCATGGAGTCAAGAAAGTCCTTGGTTCAGCCTCATGTAGATGATAAAACACTGGGGAGCAATGTAACTTGACCACTCTCATAGTTAATAAGTGACATCGCTTGAACTGTACCCAGGTTTCCAAATCCCAGCCCAGGCTCAGTTCTATTACATAACACTGCCTAAAAAGTGCCAAGTCTTCTGAACCATCCAACTTAGCCACAATTATAACTAGCAAGTCCAAAATACATCTGAAACCTGAGGCACATGCAGAAATGGGTGATAAGATGATTTTAGCAGGCTAAAGATATGGTGGATACGAGGAGAAGCCTCCCTTATCTTCAGTAGTGTGAACACAAAACAGCCCTTTCTCTTCTTCCAGCATAACAGCCCATATCTGATCCCTTACAAGCTCTCTCAGTTGAGTGATCTGTTAGGAGCTTTTTTAAAAAAATTATTAGCTCACATTAAGCAGTTTCATTGTGATATGCTCATAATGCATATAATCAAATTTGATCAAACTTAGTCCCTTCTATTACTGTTTCCTAACCTCCCCTCTTTTTTCATAATTTTAATGAGTTTCATTATTCTAATTTCATGCATTCATATACAGTAGTAGATCATATTCAACCCCCTTTCTAACTGTGCCTGAGCTCTGGGGTGTGTGTGTGTGTGTGTATGTGTGTGGTTTTGGGGATTGAACTCTCTACCACTTGAGCCACACCTACAGTCCAAGCTCTGGCTTGTTACTTGCTGTGTGCCTTGGGTGGAATTCTTCTTTGGACTTTACTTTTCCTCATCTGCAGATGGGAACAGCATCACTCCCTCAGAGGATTGTGAGGATGGGATGCAGTCACACATGTGAAGCACATAGTAGGAGCTCAGTAAGATTTGTTCTCAGCTTTCCTGAAGTAACTCAGAAAGAAATGTTATATTCAGGTAGTCATATCATTTTGCCCCTAAATTTACCAGCATCGTTGAATTCTGATATTACAAAGATGGTTATAATAAGCTTTTTTCTTGAGAACACTCAGGCCTAGTGGTCTCTCTGGGCACGAGCAGTCCAGTGACAATTCCATTTGTTTTCTTTACACTCTAGGGTTGCCTAGGTTTGCTTGAATTATTTTATTACTTTAGCTTCTGCCGCAACTAATACCAAGTTCCTCTTGGAGACTTGTGACTCTTACTTTCTTCTAGACACTATTTAGGTATCTAACATGTTTTTCACATAGACCTTTGCATCTCGAAGCAACTATTTTATTTTCAGTCAAAAAATATTTCCAGAGAATGTTATTGTTAGGAGAAAACGTTTGCTTTCAAATTCAAAGCACATGAGACTTTCCTACCTTCATTTCACTTAACTGCACATGAGACTTTCCTACCTTCATTTCACTTAACTGCAACCTCCGGTCTGCTGTCTTTCTTCTGTGTCACATGTTGCTGACTGATGCTGTGATAGGAAAAGCATAACCACTACAATTTCCCCCTTCACCCTCAGCACCTGATAGCTATCCTGGCCTAAATTACACCTCTGCGAAGCATTTCATCACACTCCTCTCCCCAGCTGTCTCA